AAAGACCTGTGTTAAATATAAAAATGTTATTAACAATTAAAATTAAATAATATCAAAATTTAAAAAATATATATTATATAAATACAAAAAATATATATAAAATATGTATACAAATATTTAAAAATATAATAAAACCAAATATTAATATAAATTATTTATTTCACGCTATTTTTACATTTTAATCTGTACTAAAACATGCCAGCCCAAAAAAGATATCTAAATGTTGTCTGAAAATATTCTGATTCACTATTATTGCCCTTTATAGCTGTTATACATGTTATAGTGTTATATATTTATATTGTTTTATTATATTTGAATGTTCAACGTTATTTTTGTTATTTGTAAAAAGTTATTGCATTTTTATACACTTTTTTTAAAAATCCAACTCTGTTATGCAATTTAATGTCATGATAACACTGTTTACTGTAACAAATGATCATGATACAAAATTCAGTAAATGATGACAGAATGTTACATTTTGGGTTAACTAGTCCTTTAAACAGTGAAATCATGACTGAATCTGGAGCTGAATGGATCACATGACCTGCTCCCAGCATGCTCTAGTGCTGGTGTGTGTTATGGACAGCAGCGGCGGATCAGAGCCGACCACAACAACATTTACTCTGTCAACATCAGCGGAGTTATTTTAGTCAGTAAATCACTAGAGAAACACCTTAAGCTTAACTCAATAACCACATGACCTGAGCCAAGAATCAGGGAATTCTGGGATGGAATAGACGGCCAATATAATATAATATAACATAACATAACATAATATCATATCAGAAAACTACCGCGTGAATAGAAAGTAGGGTGAGGCACGTGTTAATGATTATTAGAATATTATTTAAATACTTACAATAACCATTAAAAATAAAATAATAGTGTTGTATTTTGTATTATTGTAAATGTATTTAAATAAAATAAAAACATTAATAGTATATTATTAAAATTGATACATTATTAAACATTTAATTGAAAATGTATTTAAATTATTTAATATTAAAATAAAAAAATATTAATAGTATATTATTAAAATGGCTAAATTATTATTAAACAATTCATTGATAATTGTTAATACTAAAAGCCAGTTAAAACATTAAAATATTATGAAATATTTTAAATTAACATAAAAAATATCATATTATTGTAATTTTTTACTATTTTCAAATTGCAGTATTTTAAATTTCTACAAAAAAATCTTAATGCAATATAATATAATAGTGTGTGTGTGAGTGAGTGAGTGAGTGTGTGTGTGTGTGTGTGTGTGTTAGGGGTGTGCGATATTGACAAAAAAATTATATCTCGATATTTTCTGGGATTTTATCGATAACGATAATTAGACGGTATTTTGCTGAGTGTGTTATTGTGCTGGTATCTTAAGGACTGCCGAAGACAGCTGACTCCTAATGTTTTTAATATTCTTCATATTCTGTGTGGTGGTCAGTTCATACTGATAGAAATTAATCTTTTCCAATAAGTTTAAACTGATTTTTGCATTTTATGGGCATTTTTACCTTTATAAAGCCATTTTTCCTAAAAGTGTCCATTATCTTTTGAGTCAAATTCTTACATTTAATCAGGGAATTAGAATAATAAGACATTTGGGCTGTTACCAAGCAAATTAAATCAACACAGAAGCTGCACCTGAAGTGGCATTTAGATGTATTTACACACATGTATTTTGTTTAATGCAAGACATGAATGCATTTAACCTGCAATTACAAATGCATAAATAATGTTTTGATATATTAAACAAAACGTTGAATACTGATATTTGAAATGATTTAAAACATGAAAAAAAAAAGGGAAAAGAAAAAGCCGAAATTTTTCAAATTAAAACCGCCAGCAGGTGGCAGCAA